ACAAATGAAGCCTAAATAAAGTCATCAGAAGAAGAGAAGGTACTAAAGATTAGAGCAGAAATAAATAATAAGGAAACTAAAAAAAAACAAAAAAACAAAAACAAAAAACAAAACCCAAAAAAAACCACCCCAACACACAATAAAACAGATAAATGAAACCAGGAGCTGGTTCTTTGAAAAAAAAAATTGATAAACCCCAGTCAGACTTATCAAAGAGAAAAGAGAAAGCACCCTAATAAATAAAATCACAAATGAGAAAGGGAAAATAGAAACTGACACCACAGAAATATAAATAATTATAAGAGAATATTATGAAAAACTATACACCCACAAACTGGACACCCTGGAAGAAACAGATAAATTGCTAAAAACATATAAACTACCAAAACTGAAAAGAGAAAAAGAGAAAACTTGAGTGGTCCAAAAACCAGCAAAGAAACTGAGTCGGTAATCAAAAATCTCCCAATAAATGAAAGTCCAGGGCTAGATGGCTTCCCAGTGGAATTCTACCAAACACTTAAAAGAGATTTAGTATTTATTCTTCTCAAATCATTCCAGGAACTAGAAATAGAAAGAAAACTTTCAAATTCATTCTATAAGGCCAACATTACACTGATTCCAACACCAGACTAAGACTCCACTAATAACGAAAGCTATCAGCCAATATCCCTGATGAACATAGATTGAAAAACAATTCTCAACAAAATACTAGCAAATCGAATCCAAAAGTACATTAAAAGAATCATTCACTACGATCAAGTGGGATTAATTCCTGTGCTGCAAGGGTAGTTCAATATTTTTTAATCAATCAACATGATACACCACATTTAGAAAAAGGTAAGAATCTTTTCAATAGTTGCAGAAGAAGCATTTAACAAATGCTAAAAACCCTCAAAAAAGTAAGGATAGAGGGAACATACTTCAACATAATAAAGACCACATATAAAAAACCCACAGCTAATACCTTCCTGAATGGGGAAAACAGTTTTTTCTCTATGGTCAGGGACAAGACAGGGATGTCCACTCTCATCACTGTTATTCAACAGAATACTGGAAGTCTCAGTCTCAGCAGACAGCAAAAAGAAATAAAAGCCATCCAAATAAGCAAGAAGGAAGTCAAATTTTCACTATTTGCAGATGACATGATACTATATACATAGAAAACCCAAAGACTCCACCAAAAAATTGTTAGAAATGATACACGAATTCAGTAAAGTCACAGGATAGAAAATCAACAAAAAGAAATCTGTTGCATTTCTATACACCAATTATGAAGCAGCAGAAAGAAAAATCAAGGAATCAACCCGATTTACAATATCACCAAAAACCATAGATATCTAGGAATAAACATAACCAAAGAGGTAAAAGATCTGTACTCTGAAAACTATGCAACATTTATGAGAGCAACTGAAGATAACACAAAGAAATGGAAAAACATTCCATGCTCATGGATTGGAAGAACAAATATAGATGTTAAAATATCTGTATCATCTAAAGCAATCTACACATTTACTGCAGTCCCTATAAAAATACCAAGAGTATTTTTCACAGAGTTACAACAAAGAATCTTCAAATTTGTATTGGAACTACAAAAGACCCCGAATAGCTAAAGCAATCTTGAAAAAGAAAAGCAAAGCTGGAGCAATCACAAATGCAGTCTTCAAATTATATTACAAAGCTGTAGTGATCAATAGAGTATGGCACTGGCACAAAAACAGACACATAAATCAATAGAACATAATAGAAAACCCAGAAATGAACCCAAAACTATATGGTCAACTAATCTTCAACAAAGCAGGAGCGAATATCCAATGGAAAAAAGAGTATCTTTAACAACTGGTACTGGGGAAACTGAATAGCAGTATACAAAAGAATGAAACTGGACCATTTTCTTACAACATACAGAAAAATAAATTCAAAATGGATTAAAGACCTAATTGTGAGACAGGAAACCATTAAAACCTGAAGAAGAACAGAGGCAGTAACCTCCTTGACATTGGCTACAGTAACTTCTTACTAGATGTCTCCTGAGGCAAGGGAAACAAAAGCAAAAATAAACTACTGAGACTTCCTCAAAATAAAAATCTTCTGCACAGCAAAGGAAACAATCAAGAAAACTAAAAGGCAACCTTCAGAATGGGAGAAGATATTTGCAAATGACATATCTGAGGAAGGATTAGTATTCAAAATTTTTAAAGAACTTATCAAACTCAACACCCTAAAAACAAAGAATTCTGTTAAAACGTGGGAAGACACAAATAAACATGTTTACAAAGAAGACACACAGATGGCCAAGAGATATAGAAAGATGCTCAACATCACTCACTCATCATCAGGGAAATACAAATCAAAACCACAATGAGGTATTACCTCATACCTGTCAGAATGACTAAAATTAACAATATAGGAAACAAGAGCTGTTGGTGAGGACGCGAAGGGAAACCCTCTTACACTGTTTTTGGAAATGCAAACTGGTGCAGCCACCCTACAAAGTAGTATGTGGGTTCCTCACAAAGTTAAAAATCAAACTACCCTAAGACCCAGCAATTGCACTACTATGTATCTACCCAAAAGAAAGAAATTCAAATGGATACAGGAACCCTAATGTTTACACTGGAATTATCAAGGACAACCAATTTATGGAAAGAGCCCAAGTGTCCATCAACTAATGAATGAAGAGGATGTGGTACATATATATACCATAGAATATTACTCAGCCATCAAAAAGAATGAAATCCTGCCATTGGTAATGTCATGGATGGAGCTAGAGACTATTATAAGGGAAATAAGTCCGTCAGATAAAGACAAACACCATGGGGTGCCTGGGTGGCTCAGTGGGTTAAAGCCTCTGCCTTCGGCTCAGGTCATGATCCCAGGGTCCTGGGATCCAGCCCTACATCAGGCTTTCTGCTCGGCGGGGAGCCTGCTTCCCCCTCTCTCTCTGCCTGCCTCTCTGCCTACTTGTGATCTCTGTCTGTCAAATAAATAAATAAAATCTTTAAAAAAAAGACAAACACCATATGATTTCATCCATACGTGGAATTTAAGAAACAAGACAAATGAACACAGGTGGGAACAAAAGAGAGACAAACCAAGAAACAGATCAACTATAGAGAACAAACTGATGGTTATTAGAGGGGAGATGGGATGGGTTAAATAGGTGATGGCTATTAAGGAGGCCACTTGTGATGAGTCCTGGGTACTGTATGTGATGAATCACTAAATTCTAATCCTGAAACTAATATTGTACTTTATGTTAACTAGATGGAATTTAAATAAAAACTTGGGGAAAATAAAAAGAAAAAACACTTATAGCTTAATGAAAATAACAAAAAACAAAAAAATGAATAAAATTCATATTTGACTCCAACAGATCTGGAAGGATCATCTTCATAAGGGCCTAGAATGAATTAAGATCTAAAGCTCTCAGTCTATCTTACAATACTGGCCAAATCCTGAACTTTACATTACAGATCAGTATTTCTTAATGTCATCTATGGAGAACCTGCATCAGATTTATTTGGGGGTGTTCCTCAAAACTGCAAGTTCCCTGACTCTAGTCTAACCACATTATCCAAATTTACTCTCTGAGGGTGAGGCACAGAAATCTCCCTCAAAAACAAAAACAAAAACAGAACAAGTTTACCTGGTGATTCTTTAGGCACATTAAAATTTGAAAACTACCAATGTTTAGTCTTTAGATCCTTAGCCCCCAGCTATTTGTTGCAACTGAAATCTGTAGAGGATCATAAAGAAGACTTCCTCTCTTCAGAGTTTATAATAAAAACTACAACAAAGTTAAGGTAAATGTAACCTTTGGTTGAACAGATGCTATTACTATACTAATGTATCCATTTTTCAAAAAAGAAACATGAGCCATGTAAATTCTTCGTGTCACTAAGTGTTATAAGGAGAACTGGAATTGGGCCCAAAAAAGGGTAAAAGGATGTAAGTAAATAAACACCAATAAACAATTCACTATCTGGCTTTCCATTATGGGAACACACTTATGCTTCAAAATGAATGCATAAGGAAAATGACTCTAAGAGGCTAAAAAACAGTAATTCCTTCATGAACCTCCACAGAGTTATTCATGACCCCAGTATATGAATATCCTGGGCCCTCAAAGATAGATTTTTCACTATACATTATCATTTTTCACTTATGTGGTACATTTGTATTAAGGTGCTAAAAGTACTTTATAAGTCTTTAAATAGCATGTCTATATTATCTTATACTAGAGAATTACTTTCTGAGTCAAATTCACTGCCTGAATATTACATGTTCTAAACCTGAATTTTTCTCCAACTCTAGGTGTTATAATTAGTCTATAAGAAATTATGCCATTTAGATCATTATATTAGTAACTAAATAATAAATCCTAGAAAAATACAATTGACATATAAAAATATAGACATAAATAGATAGTGTTTGGCATTTTTTAAAAGAAGGTACATTCTTATTTCAATCCTAAACCAGTCTGCAGGCCTAATATAATTGCATAAGAATTTATCCTCGGCTAACAGGGTAGCATAGTTTATGATAACAATCTACCTAAAAAATCATTAAAGTGTTTTCTCTTTGGAGTGACATGCAATATCAGCAGAGATTAATCTGATGAGTCTTTAGGTGAGCTCCATTTTTAAAAATGCAATAACAGAGGGCTTTGTTGTCATCTGATAAAAATCAATTACAGGAGGTAATGCCACAAGGAAAACTAACATCACTCACCACCTACCCACCCCACAGCTGAAATGATTTGTCTTCCAAACTCGGATGATCAGGAGCTATAGTTATATTCAGGGAAATTAATTTAGTTTCTATATCCTGAACTCTCTTTTTGTTCTGGAGGATCTAAATACAAATTACTTTTAATCAAGGTTGATATGATATTAATACCAAGGAGGATTTTTGAAGAATCATTTTTTTAAAATTGACTTTAGAATTTTTCACATGTGCTTAGGTTGCAACTATAGGAACGTAACTTATATCATTCTTACTTTCTGGATTCTTTGTCCACAACAAGGCACTGTACTGAATGACGAAGACAATAGATTCCACCAAACACTGCACACATCCTAGGAAGAGAATAGGAAAGTGTGAATTAGGATTCTTGAATTGAAAATTAAGGTAGCATTATATTCTTTGAAATATCTTCTATTTAATAAGTGATCTTACACAAAAAGAACTTTGATAACTTATTATTTTCTCTGTCATGGTATTAAGAATCCCTCACAAGTAAGATTAGTAATATTTTGATGCAGCAAGAGGTATCAGAACTAATAACACAATGTGCAAGCCTAGAATTATGATCAAGCCAAAAGTATCCCCAAATGAAGCTCAGCTATTCCCCCCAAACCACCTAAGACTCGTAGGCTACAAATAGCCTCAAGAGGTAATGTCTGCAACCCCCAACGGAAACGACCACAGAAGGGTGCCTGGGTGACATAGTTGGTTTAGCATCAGACTCCTGATTTTGGCTCAGGTCATGATCTCATGGTTTAGGATTGAACCCAGGGTCAGGCTCTGTGCTCAAAAGGAAGTCTGCTTGAGATTCTCTCTCCTCTCCCTCCGCCCCTCCCCCCACTCATGCGCGTGCACTCTCTCTCCCTGTAAAATAAATAAATAAAATAAAATAAATAAATAAACCTAAAAAAAAAAAAAGTGACCACAGAGAAGTCTTAAGGAGGAAACAAGTAGGGAAGACTCTGGGAGACCCCTAGAGATTTTGCTTACCATAAAAGTAAACAAAAACTACACTGGGAACTGAAAACTAGAGCAGTAAGCACTGAGTTAAAGCTGCGGAAGTTCTAAGGAGTTTGCCTATTTCATGAACCTAAGGGCTTGGGTTTTAATGCTTACATGGGGACAGGAGAGTCCTTAGGATCCAGTAAGGCAGGGAATAGAAAATGAGATATTCTCTCATAATGTCTGGATCCTTAAAGGATTACACTTCAGTGAAAAGATGATGGGGGGATGTGCAGGGAACACACTTAACCACAAGAGAGAGACAAAACAAAAATTGTTTTATCCAAAGCCCTGGGTAGAGGAATATAACTCTATATTTATAACCAGTGGTCTATCCTCACAAAGTCGGGGGTTTGAAATTACACTACATAATCCAAGAAACCCTTAACCAATAAAACACCATGAAGGAAAAGTGGCTCTGGGTCAGTAGTACCTCTGGAGACTTGGTGGAAGCAATTGATAAAACTTTATGGAGTGATACGAGGCCACATGAAAGTGCCACAGATAGGATCCCCTTATGATATGTTTATAATATAAAATGCCTTACGATATGTTTATAATATAAAATTATACAACACATGAAGAAAAATACCTTACCCTGAGTGAGGATTAACAGACACAACAAATGGGGTGGGGCAGCTGAAGTATGGGCATTTTCGTGGGGACTGTACCTTCTCACTGCACAGTTGGCTTAACCTTTCACATTGTATAATGGAATACTATAAGCAATTTAAATGAATGAACTACATCCCCATCTATCAACATGGAGAAATGGCAAAAAATAAAAATTGAGTGATAATGGCAAATTAGGGAAGAATATATTCAGAGTGATATCATTTACAGAAAGTTTCAAAACTTCATATGCAAAATACTACTATATATAATTGATGGATACATATATATGTAGGAAAAGTGCAGAAACATTTAAGGGAATTATAAACACCAAATTCAGGATAGTTTTATCTCTGGAAAGAGGAGGAGTAAAAGTTACACTGGAAGTTTCTTATATTGAGAGAAAATACGGCAAAATGTTAAGATTTGACAAAACTCTGAATGGTTACATGGTGACCTTTACATTATTGTGTACTTTCTGGAGTGTTCTTGAAATATTTCATAACCAGAGTATAGTGAAAAATATAAATGGTAGAGATAAGTAACATTCACTAAGTATGGCATAATACTCCTATTATCTTTCTTAATTTTACTCATTTGACTGAATATGACCAAGGTAGTTAGGATAGGGGTTAGGTAATAATTCACTCTGGTATAGGACGATACAGAAATCAGGGTTTTTTTTTCCATTGAGAAATTTAGAATATAAAAAATGGTACATTAGAGCAAGCAAGCAAAACTTCATGTGCTCAAAACCCTTAGACTGCAAATTTTACCCAGGGCATCTGCTACAAGATATTCTCTCTTCTTGCTAATCTTGTTCACCAGTCACATACCAAGTTATAGAATGACATTTATTAATTGTTCTGGTATACCTGGTACTATTTGAGACACTGCACTAGACAGATCCTATAGAGGGTTAGAAAAAAAATAATCTATTAGACTGTTTAGATATATTTCCCAGGTGGTATTCTAACCCCTGTTGTTGGTAGGGGAGTACCAATATAGTAATATTGATATGACTGAGATAATCAGCCCAACCTTCACCATCAATTTCCTACTAATACTGAAAGAGGCCACATTCACATGAAATATTACTGGCCCGTTAAAAATAAATAGGCTTAAATCAGGTTAAGGTCCCAAAATGGACAATCAAGTTAAAAATGTGAATCACACAATCAGCATTCTCATTTGCCTGGGGATATCTTTGTTACATGAGTAGCAGCATCAGTGTTTCCAACTTCCTTGTAAGCAGCTATAGATGAGCTGTAACCAACTGACCTTTAGAGTTTTTCATTTCAGTCATCCATGTTTTTATACACACACACACACACACACACACACACACACGCACGTACACATACACATCAATCCCCTCCTCGGGGAAAAAACAATTTTTAAGTATCTTCCCACATTCCAAGAAAACCAAGGGGATAAAGTTCAGGATCAGAAGTTGTATACAGTTAAAAAATCATAAAATATTATGCCATCAACTATTATGGTGTTATCAAAAGCATGAGAAATCCACTTAACTAAAATTAAATGCATTTTTTTACAAAGACCTCCTTTCATTATCTATTACACTATCTATGAAATACATTGCTACTTTAGTATATAATATTAAGAATCCCTTCATTTGAAAATTAATTTCTTAAGTTTTAGGGTAAATAAGCCCTCTGAAAAATGTATTTAAGTATATAATGCAATAGAGGCATCTATAACCATTTATTTTAGTAAGCCATCAACAAATTACCTGGTTTTCAACACAATTTAACTAATAGTGGACATATACTACATAGAAGAAACATAAGAAAGTAAAGAATGTTTAGGATTGGTTTGTATGAATGTTATTTTTAACTTCAATGCTTTAATATCATGAAATGCAAGTACAAAACATTGTACGAGTATATACTGTACTACATGGAGATGGAATAATACATTTGTGTTTTTATCAGAATCTGTATCACCCAGTGCTAGCCACCATACCAAAGGCTTTCCACAGGGATTTTCCTACTCTTCCTATGAGGTTTTAGCATGAATAAACAAGCTCACAAATCCTTTCAACTACTGCAATTTATATTTATCTTAATATTCTTGTTCAGCTGCTTTGGAGAACTGCTAAGAAATACAAAATTACCTTAGCCAAGAGTTTTGAGTGGCTAAAGAATTTTGTTATTTCATGTTAGCCAAGATCTCCCTTTTGTTGGCATTGCAAAGACACTATGCACATCTATGGGGTAAGAAAAAAACAGTCTCAATAGCCCTCTTACTGTTTAGGAAGGCAAATTACCATTTCTTGAAAAGTACAGATTATAATAGTTATTGGCTAAGCAGTATTTCATGAAAATCCATTTACTTAACAGCAACAGAAAGCCATAAAACCCCATATGTACTAAAGAAAACAAGTTTGGAAATATTTAAACTAGTGTTTTACCTACCTCTACACTGGTTTAACCACATCAAGTGAGAGTAACATCAGCCAATAAAGAAAAGTGTCCAGAATTCAGCTTCCACAGCATATCTCAGCTATTTCAGCTAATACTTTTTTTAAAAGATTTTACTTATTATTTATTTGACAGAGAGATCACAAATAGGTAGAGAGGCAGACAGAGGAGTGGGGGGAAAGCAGGCTCCCTGCTGACCAGAGAACCCAATGCGGGGCTCAATCCCAGGACCCTGAGATCATGACCTGAGCTGAAGGCAGAGGCTTTAACCCACTGAGCCACCCAGGCATCCCTCAGCTAAGACTTTTTTTTAATGACAAACCAAAAAAATGATGAAAGTAGCATTTACCTTTTGGAAATAAAAAAATGAAAATATGGCTAACTTCATAAAATATTTGAAGCTAATTTTGTTTTTATAAAATGATATTTATCTTTTTTTGAGTTTTAATTATCGTTCTTGTGATTAAGAAATTCAGTCAAAGTCATGTCAACCTAAAGGCTGACAAAGGGATAAGCTTTGGGGTATTTAAAATAACATGTTTGGAAAACTGAACCACATTTTTTTTATTGTGTTATGTTAGTCACCATACAACCACATTTTTAATTGCCAGCATTATGCTTTGGTCTTGGCAGAATCATCTTTGTTTCTTCTTTTTACATCCCAATTATAAACTTTGGACATACTGACTTCTGTGGTAGTAAACTGATCTCTAAGAAAGTCAAGGTCTTCCTCAAGAAAATCAAGATTCTTCATGGCAGTCGATAAATTCTTGTCCAACAACGCCTGAGCCTCATCATTACCATATTCAAGCATTACATTAGCCCCCAACCATAGACGCGCTTTACCAGTAGGAAGAACTAAAGTTTTGCAATACAGGATATCTGTAAGAATCTGGTCTCCTGTGAACTGCTGGACTCTTTTTTCTTCTGCATCTATTTTAGAATTCCTAAAGTGTGCTTAATTTCAGAAATCTACCCCTTTAGCCTCCTTTTCTTTGGAGCAAGGTTGAGTTCCATAAACATACTTCTGGTACTGTTCATCCAGCCTCTTTAGTACTGTATTTGCAGTCTCATTCCTTTGCTGTTTCATGAAGCATCTACATCTTCCACAAACACAGCCTCAGGAATCCCTAGGTGGAGCTGCTGTCCATTCCCTTTGGCCATTTCTCCTAAGCCACAACTGTCCTTTGTGGCCATTATCTTGGGGAAGTGAGTGCACCACTTGTGTGGATGTTATAAAGGAAGAAGTCCAATGACCAGACACTCAGAATTCA